AAAAGATACTGTGTGGGCTGGGACTGCTCTTATAGAGTCCTAAATATACTGGAAATTCCCTGCTACCTCCAGGAAAGGCTGCTTAGAGAAAATTAGTGAGAAGTTGTCCTCATCTTAGCTCTGCTATTGTTTGGAATATCCTGATATCCCATTGCCTGAGCCTGTATTGTCGGTGTGTGTGAAACTGTGTATTGTGGATGGCAGGCTCCATACTACTGTGGGAGAACCTGGCTCATTCTCAGCGCCCCCTCCGGGGCTGAGCATTAGATCTACTTTAACATATTGACAGCATGGGACAGTTTTCACACCTTTAACTTTTCAATAAAAGGATACAGGATTCTCTGCTGGGATGGGCAGAATCTGGACACCATGACAGTGCATGCTCCACAGCCTCCTTCCCCGCAGCCAAGTTTGGTTCCTGGTAACCCCACTGGATGTCAGATGGTTAAGAAAAAGACACAATCACAGATGTCGTACAATAGTTACTCAATCGTTAAATCTATTGCACTATACAAGAACTAAAAATCCCTGTTTTAATGCAAACATTTGCTAGAAACATGTAAGAGTGTATTGCAGTGTGCAGAGGGTTCATTTAGGTCCAAAGCATACTTTTCATGGTCGGGTGTTGCTTACACCTGATGCACAATGCTCTTGCTGTTTATGACTCGGTGCTCTAAAGTCTGCTCTTCGGCAACATGGCAGCTTGTCAGTATGAATTGTCTTCCATGGTGATCAAACTGATAGTTATACATAGTGTGATGTCGGTCACCAGCTGTAGCCTTTCAGAAAGTCTAGATGGCGTAGCACGTGAGGAGAGCAGTGATATTGGAATATGGATGTGACATGCCTTGTTTTATCTGCTGAAATGTAAGTATTTTTTTTACCATTTTCAATAAAAAATCGTGAGATTGATCTGCACTATCAGTGGGTTTTTTTTGCTTCCCACATAATATTTTGCCATTGGGAAATGGTCTGCGAGGAAAGAGGAAGACTGGAGAGGAGTTACATTTGTACACATGTAAATAAAGTGCAATTCACCTCCTTTTATCAGTGGGGTTCCAACAATTAAGGTGAGCTGATACCCATAAGGTGGGGTGAAGGGCACTCCGCTGTGCATGGTGTGGAAACTGGAGCTTTCTTGCACTGTCCAAAGATTGACTTAATGCAATAGATTGCACGAAAATTGAATGGTGTATGGAACTCATTTTTATTTAAAGTTTTTTTTTATATATTTTTTTTTTCTCCCACTGTTGCACTTTATATTTAATATCACTGTGAAATATGGAGTGATTATGTTATTATTTATTTAATGATTTACATATATATATATATATATATATATATATATATATATATATACACATACACATTTATTTAAATAGTGTTTATAGTTTATTGATTCGGGGATGTGTGAAAAAAAATATGCATTAAAGCAACGCCCCAGGACACCAAGGTCTGATTGGATCTTTTCATAGATTGGCTCATGCTCTAGCACTGGAGTAAACTGCTGAGAAGACTCTTGGACCCCACGCCAGTTAATTTTTTGTGATGAGTGGTGGATGGGCCAATGGGTTTTTTACCTGCTATAAAATAAAGTGCAAAATCATGATGTACTTATTTGGAATATATGTACTCTTTATTTGGTATTTTGCAACATAAAATTGAATTTGTTAGAATTTGTGTAACTAGAATAGCTGTTACTGAACTATGCAGGTTTTATAATGCGTTATTACTGTTACCATTTCCTGAATGTAGTTTCTTTTTTTCCTATAGGACAGAGCTCTTTCAGACTTTGAGCCCCTAAATCTTTCTTTTACAAAGAATTTTATTATAGAATAGGAAACAGCAGAGAATCAGTCAAAAACATATGCAATGACCTGCGGGAATATAGCATGCAAAGGATTCGATGAATAATACAGAATATGTACTGATGAGAAAGCATGAAAATAAAATACATAATGCCGTAGGAAGAAAACACAATAAATTGCAGAAATTATAGACATTTAGAGACCAATAACATAATAAACTCTAAGGAAAAATTGTTACTGTATCAGCATACAGAATGCGAGAAGAATAGGAGAAGGAACCTCTCTGAATACAGAGAGGTACTTAACACGCAGGGCTTTCAAAGGAGTCCAGCACATGGATGCAGTGTTGCTGGTACGGGTTGAGCCCCCAAATCTTTCAAGTATGAAACACTGAATGCTGGGAAATGTAGTTTGGGTTAGGAGCGATGCCTATACCATTGCAGGCAGAAGAAACTACAGGAGCCACTGTGCCTGGAAGCAGGAGGAACTATATAAACAGAAAAGTCAGAGAAAGAACATGAACAGTTTGAAAGGACTTGTCAGAGAAAGAGCCGAGGAGGCTGGTTAAAAGACTGCATTGGTGATGGTGCCTGTCAGTTCTGGAGAGCTGTATGATTGGCTGCAGACCACTGGATTTGAGTTATAGTTGGGTTGTTGCTGGCTACTGTGATCAAGTCCCACACAGAGGCCTAATGCCTGTGTAGCTGGAAGGTTCAGAGTATAGTAGTGTCCAGTCTAGCTGCTTGTACCTCTGCCATGCAGGAGTCAACTAGAGACTGCTCCTGTGCCACAGAGTCCATGCTTCATCTAATCACTGCAGGAAGACATCTAAAATCAACACCATTTTAAAGGGGACTCCATCCATTGGAAGAATGCCTGCTAAAAAAGATACAATGGAGCTGGTGAGCAGGTCCTTGACCCATTAGTGACCTCTTTGTTGACTTTGTGCATATCTATTAGAAGGATTTACTGCCCTTTGTTTCCACTGCTACTCCCCATCTTTTGGCTATTGACTGAACACCATTACTCTTGTTTCCACAGAACCTTAAAACCTTTATACCTTTGCCTGGTCCCTCCCATATTAGTGTTCTGAGGAGCTTTATTTTCCCCCAGAGTACAGGGGGTACCCACCTTCCATAAGCACACCAACATCTTCAAGGGTCCCAATGTGGCTGGCAGAAGACCAAACCTAAAGACTGTACATAGTTTTTCTGCCCTTGAGTGCAGTTTTCAGCATGCAACCAGTTCTTCAAGGCTTAGGCTTAGCTCATTCATTTTAAATGTCCATAGGCAACAAAGTCCTGATCTGTTTGGTACTAGTTTGTTATTGCATCATGCTACTCATTTGTGAGTGGAGCTGCACTTTATGCTGGTCTGGTCCAAGTTCATGGTAGCATTCTAACCAGATCCAGTGAAGCCTTGTTGTAGTATATACTGCAAAAATTATAGTTGTTAAATTCTGCTTATGTGAGCACTGTTCGCCAATATATTTAATTTATTTCAAGCTCTCGAGTTTCATCTCAGGGTTACCCTAAGGTAATAACAAAAAGTACTAATTTATCTCAACTAATGTGTATACCTGAGGTGTCAGTGGTGCTGAGGTATTTGCCAAGGTCAAGGTAAGAATGGAGGCCATGACAAAACCAGGGGATCCTGGGGAGATGGCGCTACATTTGGAATGCTTAAAGAATCCTTTTACCAGTTGCAGTCTACAGCAAATATACAATCACCTAACCCTTGTTTTTAACGTGAACTGTTAGACAGGATAATTTGGTTGGTTGCAAGCTGGCTGGTAAGTTCAGCTGGGAATTTTTTTTTGTTGTTTTACATGCGTCACCATTCCATGTGCTCCTTACTGCGAAGGCCAGGTATAGTTAGGGGCAGTTGCCATTTTTTGTACTGTTGATATACTATGAGGGGCGAACTGGACACCTTAGCTGCAATTGTGCTATATGCTGGGTGTCCACTGTGCTCCTGTGTCTTTAAGGAGGAGTGGGCTCCCTCCAGGCTCACCTGCCCTCAGTCTATCCATTATTATGCATGTGCTTATACTATGGAGGCTCTCAAAATTTAAAGAGTTAGAACTGCAGAAAATACCAGGGGGACGTAAAGAGGCTTACGCATGTATTTGCAAATGTGTGCAAACTAAACCCCTGTTTTTAACGTGAACTGTTAGACAGGATAATTTGGTTGGTTGCAGACTGGCTGGTAAGTTGAGCTGGGAATTTTTTTTTTGTTGTTGTTTGACATGCGTCATCCTTCCATGTGGCACTACCTGTGAAGGTCAGTTATAGATTGGGGCAGTTGCCATTTTTTTGTACTATGCAAAAACCATAGATTAGCCTGACCTAGAGCAAATCCCAGCTTGAGCATACCCATCATTGCTGGATGGCATAGCAATACATACACGTTTTTGCCTCTAACCCCAAAGGCAGACAGGTAACAAAAAAAAAGTCTTGGATGTCAGGTGCTATGGTTAGTAATAAGCACAATTTAGAGTTTTCTTCCACTGTAAAAATCAGGAGATTTGCAAAAATGTTGCCATTTTTGCAAAATGCGTTGATGAATTTAGCCCTACTACAGCCTTTTTTTGCATTTTTTGCACACGTTTAAAAAATAATTTTAGGTCTGAAGATTACATAAACCCCCAAAACATTACATGTTTTATGAAAAACCCTAGAGAATAAAATGTTGGTAGTTCCATTTTTTTATGGCATATGATATTGACTGTTTAGGAAATGCAAAACGTCAGTAAAAAATACACTATAGTTATTTTTAGGACATACACACACAATAAATTACTTATATTTTTTGCAAAATATAAAAGACGAGGTTGCACCAAGTAAATAGATACCCAACATGTCAAATCTTAAAACTGCGTGCACCTGTCAATCCACAACAAACTTTGGTACCCTATATTTTCTATAGGCGACCATACAGGTCATCAGTTTAGAGTTAAACATGGGAAATGAGCCTAGAATTATTGCTCTCATCGCCCTTCATATGTAAGCCCCGCCCCTTTCTCTTTAGGCCACACCTCTTCCTATTAGAGCTCCATCTCAGGAGTTGGTCAGAGACTGTGGACATGATACAAGAGATGGTCAAAGACTGTGGACATGATACAGAAGAAGGTCAGAGACTGCGGACATGATACAGGAGAAGGTCAGAAACTGCAGACATACTTCAGGAAAAGGTCAGAGACTGCAGAGATACTACAGGAGAAGGTCAGAGACTGCGGACATACTACAGAACAAGGTCAGAGACTGCGGACATACTCCAGTACAAGGTCAGAGACTGCGGACATACTACAGGACAAGGTCAGAGACTGCGGACATACTACAGGACAAGGTCAGAGACTGTGGACATACTACAGGACAAGGTCAGAGACTGCGGACATGATACAGGACAAGGTCAGAGACTGCAGACAGGATACAGGTGATGGTCAGAGACTGCAGACAGGATACAGGAGAAGGTCAGAGACTGCAGACAGGATACAGGAGATGGTCAGAGACTGCAGACAGGATACAGGAGATGGTCAGAGACTGCAGACAGGATACAGGAGATGGTCAGAGACTGCGAACAGGATACAGGACATGGTCAGAGACTGCAGACAGGATACAGGATATGGTCAGAGACTGAGAACAGGATACAGGACATGGTCAGAGACTACGGACAGGATGCAGAAGATGGTCAGAGACTGCGGACAGCATACAGGAGATGGTCAGAGACTGCAGACAGGAGATGGTCAGAGACTGCGAACAGGATACAGGACATGGTCAGAGACTGAGGACAGGATACAGGAGATGGTCAGAGACTGCAAACAGGATACAGGACATGGTCAGAGACTACGGACAGGATACAGAAGATGGTCAGAGACTGCGGACAGGATACAGGAGATGGTCAGAGACTGCAGACAGGATACAGGAGAAGTTCAATATACTGCAGAAGTAATGAAGGAGCTGAAAAAATACCTCTATGAGGACCCATCAAATGCCAGGTTTGTAAAAAAATGGAAAACCTCTGGTTTTCACTGCGGGCCCACTAGCCCCCTGCTCAGCACACCCCCCTGAAAAATGCTGCCCAAGCCAAACACCTTGTTTGCCTCATGGCAGATACGCCCCTGTGTATGGCACAATCAAAGTTTTAGTGCATTGGCTCCCTTGACGTGTATTTTTGTTTATAAAAGCATGTATGGGGGGTGCTCAGACATTTTCTAAGGGATTTTAAGCACTTGTGTGAAACTTATTTTTTTAACACTTTTTAAAATTATTTTTTGCTAATTTTTTTTTAATCACATAAGGGAAAAAAAGTTTACGATGTGATGATTTTTGAATGAAACATCAGGGGTCTAAAAATACATAACACAAAATAGCCAAAAGCTCCAAAAAATACACACCTAATAAAACTGAGCAAAAAAAAAAAGATGTTTTTCTTTTCACACAAAGTTTGACGAAGTAGCTCAGTGAGCAAAAGGGAGAATTTTGGCTGTCAAAATTGCCAATCTCAATGCTAAATACAGTAAGTTTCACCAAAATCATTCTGCATATCCCTAATCACAATCAATAAATATGAAGTTTAAAACCATCAGAAGGATACATTTTCTTCGCAGGTAGGTCAACAAAGTCATTTTTGGATCAGCATTTTTCTCAATAACCTACAAATAAAAAAATAATAGTACAATAATAATATTACTTTCTTAACCAATTTTCTTTACTGTGCCACCATGTAACATACTGTGATGAAATGCAAACACAAGATGATCTTTCACCTAATACATCAAAGAAGCTAAAGTTTGCCCACCGACCAATGTACACAACATACGTCACATGGTTCCCTGTACAAACCATCATCAGATATCAGTCACCTACTACACTGGATATATAAAGTCTACACACTCCTGTTAACATGTCAGGTTTATGTGATGAAAAAAATTTGACAAAGCTAAATCATTTCAGAACGTTTTCTACCTTTAATGTAACCTATAAGCTGTACAACTCAGTTGAACAACAAACTGACAACACTGAAGAAATGACACTTTGCTACAATGTAAAGTAGTGAGTGTACAGCTTGTATAACAGTGTAAATTTGCTGTCCCCTCAAAATAATTCAACACACAGCCATTAATGTCTAAACTGCTGGCAACAAAAGTGAGTTCACCCCTAAGTGAAAATGTCCAAATTGAGCCCAATGTGTCAATATTTTGTGTGGCCGCCATTATTTTACAGCACTGCCTTAACCCTCTTGGGCATGGAGTTCACCAGAGCTTCACAGGTTGTCACTGGAGTCCTCTTCCACTCCTCCATGATGACATCACGGAGCTGGCGGATGTTAGAGACCTTGCGCTGCTCCACCTTCCATTTGCCCCACAGATGCTCAATAGGGTTTAGGTCTGGAGACATGCTTGGCCAGTCCATCACCTTTACCCTCAGCTTCTTTAGCAAGGCAATGGTCGTCTTGGAGGTGTGTTTGGGGTCATTATGTTGGAATATTGCCCTGCGGCCCAGTCTCCGAGGGGAGGGGATCATGCTCTGCTTCAGTATGTCACAATACATGTTGGCATTCATGGTTCTCTCAACGAACTGTAGCTCCCCAGTGCTGGCAGCACTCATGCAGCCCCAGACCATGACACTCCCAACATGCTTGACTGTAGGCAAGACACACTAGTCTTTGTACTTCTCACCTGGTTGCCACCACACACGCTTGACACCATCTGAACCAAATAAGTTTATTGTGATCTCATCAGACCACAGGACATGGTTCTAGTAATCCATGTCCTTAGTCTGCTTGTCTTCAGCAAACTGTGGGCTTTCTAGTGCATCATCTTTAGAAGAGGCTTCCTTCTGGAACGATGGTCTGAGCACTGACAGGCTGACCCCCCACCCCTGGCAGCACTCCCAAAGAGAACCTTTGGATATGATGCTGAGCCTGTGCACTCAACTACTTTGGTCGACCATGGCGAGGCCTGTTCTGAGTAGAACCTGTCCTGTTAAACTGCTGTATGGTCTTGGCCACCGTGCTGCAGCTCAGTTTCAGGGTCTTGGCAATCTTCTTACAGCCTAGGCCATCTTTATGTAGAGCAACAATTCTTTTTTTCAGATCCACAGAGAGTTCTTTGCCATGAAGTGCCATATTGAACTTCCAGTGACCAGTATGAAAGAGTGAGAGCGATAACACCAAATTTAACACACCTGCTCTCCATTCACACCTGAGACCTTGTAATACTAACGAGTCACATGACACCGGGGAGGGAAAATGGCTAATTGGGCCTAGCTTGGACATTTTTATTTAGGGGTGTACTCACTTTTGTTGCCAGCAGTTTAGACATGAATGGCTGTGTGTTGAGTTATTTTGAGGGGGCAGCAAATTTACGCTTTTAGGGCTCATGTACATGAGCAGCTGCTAAACTCAAGTTTATGAGCTTTTGGCATTTTTTTTGCCAAAGCTCCTCAACTCAACTCCATAAAAGCCTATGTGTCCATGTACACATAGGCTTTTAGCAGAGTTTACAGCTGCCGCGGTTAGCTGAAGTTAAACCTCCCTCTCCTGAACGCAGAAGAATCGCGTTCAGGATAGGAAAGTTTTTGACCGCCGACCGTGGGAAAATGCAAAATGCGCCAACTGCGGTAACATGACTTTTGCCACGGTTTTGCCATGATTTGCGTTTTTCCACGGCCAGCGGTCAGGGTAGGCTTGTGTACACGGAGCCTTATACAAGCTGTACACTCACTACATTACATTGTAGAGAGATTTACCTTCACATCCTGTCTTAAACATAACATGAAGTAAAAAGAAATTTCTCCAAAGTGAGTGACTCAATGATAATGGTCACCAGGAAAAAAAGAGAGGGAGAATCTCCCCAGTGGGGAAACACACATCAATAAATACCTTCTAACCTTTCCCAATCACTACTCTACTATCCAAATCAAAAAAGTTATGCCTTTAGATACACTGTACGGTAATCAGGAAGGAGGGGTAAGAAGTTACTATGCTTTGTTTTAAAGTACTGTATACTCACCCTTTAAATCTGAACTTCAGGCAAATAATACAAAGATCAATATTTTGCAATATTAACTACTATACATTCAATATAAAATGTTTGCAAGTATGTAAAAGTAGCTGAAGCATTATATCTACTCCCCACAATGCCTTGCACAGATTGCAGTGAGGAGGTTTTACATAAATAAATAAAAGATGGTCATTGTAAGCACCCCTGTCAGTGGCAAATGGTTTGTCTCATCCCTCAAACTGCTACATTTGTAGGACAGCTTGTTCATTTGAAAAACACCAGATTTACTGGCTAGATCACCAGGTGAAAATAAGGGAAAGAAAGCCTAAAAAAGAAAACTAATGCAGCCACCACATCTAACGATTGATAAGCTGCAATGTAATAAATGTTTGTTTTTAGGTTTAACACCACTTTATATTGGCAACCTTTAAGTCAGTATCATGTTTTGCCTGTTAGATCAGAGTTGTTCTAAAATGAAGTACCAGATACTGGCATGTCAGTGCAAAGTTTGCATAATACACAACACAGAGCTACAAAGTCAGAATAAAATATTTTTTTTGTAAGAAAATTAAAAATTACATACAGTATATGAGTAGCATTAAAGTGGAACTAAACTGTATCTGAGCACCACAAACAGAAAACGTGTTGAATTCATTTTTAATTTTCAAAGCAATCCATGCAACAAAGAATACTAGGTGGCAATAGTCACTTCTGTCCCAGCAACCGAGGACACTACGTGAAAACAGCCACCTGCATCCCAGCAACCGAGGACACTACTTGAAAACAGCCACCTGCATTCCAGCAATGGAGGAGGCTGGGAGGCAATAGACACCTGTGACCTAGCAACTGTGCACACTAGACGGCAATAGCTTCTTGCACCCTAGCAACTGTGCACACTAGATGGCAATAGCTACTTGCACCCTAGCAACTGTGCACACTAGACGGCAATAGCTACTTGCACCCTAGCAACTGTGCACACTAGACAGCAATAGCTACTTGCACCCTAGCAACTGTGCACACTAGACGGCAATAGCTACTTGCACCCTACAACTGAGTACACTAGGCAGCAATAGCTGCCTGCATCCCAGCAATTAAGGAAGCTGGGCAATAAATGCTTTGTGCAACCAGCAACTGTTTGATATAAATCCTTCTGAAACTGTTTTCAAAACACTCTAAAACTGCTCATTTATCACAAACAATCCTAGGAACAGTTGCTTGTGCAGGTATCTGTATAAATTACAGAAAAATGTGTAATAATAGGTCATTTGCTCACTGACTTTTCAATCATAAGATCTTTTATCTAGCTAACAGCACCACTTAACCGATAATTCATGCTGGGAAGCGTAATAAATTATTGATGATTTTTACAAATCTATAATGCCTGATTGAGTTTCTGATGCTACCGCTACCACTTCTCAAAATACTAGCTGCCTGGCTTGGTCTGGAACAACCATGCAGCTAGTGAAGCCAGGGACCAGTCAGAACACTTGATTTGCTTGAAAGTAAATGTTTTTGGATTTTTTTTACCTATATGGACCTTTTTAGTATCCTAACTTATACCCTACTTCCAAAAAT